TTAAACTTGGTTAGCTTGGATTTGGATCCCAACACGTCATAGATGAGAAGGACTGTCAGAAAGTTGGTGATATTTAGCAGTTACTAGGTCTGGTAAATGGTGAAGTTTTGTTTTTAAAATAACAACAAACCCTTTTAACCTTTCAAATCCAGGCTTTCGGCGGCTTAATGCCTCCCGAGTAATTTATTCTTTACATGATTTGAACTCCGTGCCCGTGGCTGTGTTTTTGCATCAACATCACTCTGCCAGATATAATACAGGACACTGAAACTATTGTTTAAAGGTTTGACGAGTTTATTGGTTGTGTCGTGTGCTTGCATTCGCAGGTGGAGGCTAAATGAGTCTTTGATCCTGCCCAGACCGGGGTCACGTTACTCTCTCATGGGAGGAAACTTACGCATCAGCCATCTGAATAAAGAGGAGGATGTTGGCATCTATCAGTGTCTGGCATCCAACTCTTTTGGCACCATCGTCAGCAGAGAGGCCAGTCTGCATGTTGCATGTAAGTTCACATTGTATTTAAAGTGGAGCTCTTTCACACATCAGAGTGTATTTACAGGTACTGAGGCCACAAATGGCTCCAGATGGCTCGAATCTAAAGACTACACATTTGAAAATGAAAAAAATCTGGGGGTGTGGAGTTGGATATCTGTAGCCTGCTCCTCATCTCTACTTGTAGTTATTTTTTGTCCACTATGGAATAAAAAAAAAAACTAACGTTGACTGTTATAATCGTACGTATCTGAATCAAACACAGCTACAGGATACAGTGTGTTATTTTATAATTCCATTTTTATTGGTTATAAGCCCATTTCAGAAAGCAGAAAATACAGCTCTTAAATTTCTTGGTTTCATTTTATCGTCTTGAACAATTTGTTTCAATTCCACTTCACTTGGGTTCATTTCAGTTTGACTTCACTTTGAGTGCGGCGCAGTCTGTTTGCCTTACAAAGAACATCAGACACCGTGGTTCACTGAAAGTATAATAACCCAGTAAGAGTCTGTGGAAGCCGTTTGTTGTCAGACCTGATCTTCTCTAACAACAATCAGCAACGAGAACCTGATACGGTTAAACTTATTAAAGAGAAAGCACAAATTAACCATCCATGTTTCTGTCGTGTTATGTTTTTATTCTCTAAGCCTGATTAAAGCTCCAGCTCTGGTGTTTGCTCTGCCTGGCGGTTCTAAACTTCTCACACCTCTGTGATGAAGACAGTGTGATTGTGTGGTGGGCCTTGGCAGATCCCGTATAGTTGATGCTTTACAGCCTTCATCCATCACGTTTTATAAGACCACAGTCTAAGGCATCTCTGATGGCAAGGTGAACTTGAGGCCTCCACTCTTGATGGGCAGCCCATATCAAATGACAGCCCTGATATCTGTGAACAGATGGTGCAGCTAGATTGAATTCTGATGTCTGTTTCTCTGCCATAGTCGACGCAGCGATGATCCTTGGCGGGAGAGTGCCAGAGATATCCATCTCGCCACTATTTGGTGCTTCTTTGTCACAAAGCAGCATTAAATCTTCGGCATATAGAGCAAATCTGTGTCCTCACTTGCCAGTGGGCCGTTGATCATATTCACATTTCCTATCAATTTTTTCTGAGGCCTGTCCTGAGCTGTACGTCATTGTGATTGGTCTCATCCATCGCCCGGGCCTGACCCCAGAGCTGCCGCTTTTGTCAACGGATGAGAACAACCATCAGTGCCGATGTGTCATACGTCTTATTTATTGCTCTTGGTTTAACTTAATTAAGTGTGCTGTGTGATTGAGCGGGTCTCGGGTCAAGGGAATAATTCACGGCAGAACAGTCTGTTATGAGAGTCAGTATCATGCCATTTGTAAGAGACACTGACTCAGAGTAGCTAAATATACTTCTTCAAACACCAAGAGGCCCGCACACCTCTCTTGTAATAACTCTGTGAGACAAAGACCAAGGTGAAAGTCATTAATGAAGCGAATGTAAGGACCTACAATAACATTTAGCTGGTAATCTCATCAAGTCTAGGAGCATAGAACCAAAGCTCTTAGACCCCGATGCTGAAAACAAATGTAGACTGTTCAAAGCTTTAATATACTTCCTTTAACAATGTAATCTATAACCGGCAATTGAAGTCTTTGCTGATGGTGAACAAGATCAAAGTCTTCCCTAATGATGTCCCATATCATCAAATTTGTATTGCATGGATGTGAAGTGCATGTATAAGAATTAAGAGAGCCTGCATTTTTAATCCTCTAAACGATGGATGATATAACAGTTTCTGTTACCATCTGGTACGAGCTAAACCTCTAAAAGTATAAAGGTTCTTGATCCTGTTGACAATACGCACTTACGTGTTTAAAAAGGTTCTGCTCGCTCGCTGGGAAGTGCTGGAAGGAATAATCTAGTTGGTCATCGAGCCAGATTGAGTTTCCTAATCCCCATCTGGATTTTTTTTTCTGTGTAAGTGAAAGGATTTTCACCGAGATGCAACATAATACAACAGATTGCAAGGGCCGCCGTAGAGGCAAAGTGTATTGGATGCCTGTCCTAAAGAAGGAACGTGCGCCAGCCTAGATTCTGTGCTGCTTATAGATCCACAAGGGTAACACAGTGTCTAATGAAGGGTGAAATTGCTGTATTTATGATAGCAATACAGGATGTGCCTTCCTCTTGTCTTGGTGTTCCTGATTTCTGCTCAAATTCAGTCCTGTAATTGCATCGAACATCCCTTTTTTCTCTTACTGCCATCACTCTGACCTTTCTGCCTTGACTGTGTATTCACTTTTACTCCATTTCTACATCCCTTTTGTTTTTGCTTGCTTCTCTCATTTCAATACAGCGCCGTGCTCCTTATTCATCGCTTTTGACGAAGCCTCTTTTAAGCTGGAGAACACCAAAGGATGGACAATAGCGGTTATCGTCAGCGCTGTGATTGTAGGTGTTCGTTCTGAGTCTCAGTTAATCTTTTAGGGGAGAATTCAACAGGCCTTTTTTTGTTTCTTTCTAAATGCAGCACGGTGTTGTAATTGTCGGGAGACACCAGCAGGAGCACTCAGCAAGAATTCAGCCCCTTTAATGTTTGTCGCTCCTCAAATGTCATGTGTCGATCACTGTTAGAGCTTCACTGTGTGATGCTTCTCCGAGAACAGAGAAGGAGCACAAGATGCAGGCAGAGATGAGAGAAGATGATGACTTTTTCACAGTAATGTTCATTGCGATTATTCACCTATGTCGACCTTCACGGTTACAACGATTAGCAGTTTGCTGATTGTAAATTTTTGGTGATTTCCGCTCAAGTATCTTCTAGTACTCAGTGTGTAGTCAATAATTACACTTGTGCAGCTTTGCTTTTTAAGACAATCACTTTGAATAGGGTAAGAATGCCACTTTATAATTCATTGACTACTGCATGAAAAATTACCTGAAAAGCTAAAAAAAATACTCTCAGAAATAGTCACACATTAAAAACTGTTAAACCTTTAAAACATCTGTGCATTTTTCTCCGATAGTAACAAAATAATGATATTGATCTTATTATTAAAGCTCGTGTTTTACTTGTTTTTTCCATCATTATTGCTAATATTCATATTATTATTAATATTTAACTTGTTCTTTTCAAGCACACAAGACATGAGAATTAAAGCTACTTTCTCAAGCAGATAACATCGTGAGGAGAGATCCAACACCATTTTGGCAAAACACAAAACTACTCCATGCCTTTGCATCACACCTCCATCATTTTGTTATTTTGTGAAGATTCGGTAGTACCCTGCCATTTTCTGACTCATCACAAAACTGAAAACTAATGATGAAACTCTTGCCAACATCAGCCGTGATCTTATTATTTCGTGGGCTATACAAGTAAGTTCACATTCATCCAAAAACAATGACTAGTTTTTTGTATTTTTTTCTTTAAC